AGTTAATTAATCAGATTAGCAGGATGTAAAATTATAGGACACTTACAAACATCTTTGCAATTAAAAGGATCACACCTAACTAGACTCACCAACAACTTGTGGCAGTTCCACTTAATGACTCGTCAATTTAGGGATCAGTAACTGCACTTGCATGGTCCTCCAATCATTATCACAATAATTGACCAAGTTGCCATATATAGAATTAGTTTACAGGCTGAAAAGAACAGAAAGAAAACATACATTCAACAATAATTAATAAGTAAACATTAATTCAACAATAATTCATATATAGAGAGCAGATGGTTGGGTGAAAAATATGGTAGAGGCCTCCCGGTAACATCATTATGTCATTAGTGACTATTTTGTCACCTTCTGTGATGTCACTATTCACAGGTCACCGTGTATATAAGCTCGGTGAGCCAACTGCCAGTCAGTCTTAGCAGAGTCTCAGTCGTAGGCAGTCATCATAGAGCCTGCAAACTCTAGACAAGCTCACGTCGTCTAAGACTCCAGCACTCATACCAACACGCAGTGTTGTAATACTCTATCTCCAAAATTACTGCACATCATAGTGACAAACCAGAGATTTTTTAGAATCAGTTCATTTTTAATTTCCTCATTTACCTAAGATTGATTCCAATTTCTTATGTATGATAATGCTGGTATCCAGGATACTTTACTGGTCTACTTATAGGACTCAAAAATGAACTTGAGGGAGAGTGTAAAAAACTCTGCTTTGCCACTATGCTGCACATACTGTGCTTTGATCCTGTAACTTCTATCTAGTGTATCCCATGAACCTATCTTTAATACTTACACTTAGATACACCACTGTGCAGAGAGTGGATGAATATTGCAAGATCTTTGGCAACGCTTCAGTAGCAAAATTTATACCTTCAGAAGATCTTGCCAACACATTTAGATTGAAATTCTTGCATTTAATATATTTGTCAGTCTTTGGCCAACTATTTAAAAAAAAAGTAAGGTTTCCAGTAGGTATGTTGGATGAATCAGGATGCAGTGAAGCTTTTCCAGAAATCAGTTGCGATGAGTTCCCGCAAAAAAATGTAAACATCAAGTTTACAATTACGTAGTTGCGGTCACATTAGAGCGGTCAGACTGCATTATCACATGTTCAGTTGACACTTGCTGTACAATCGGACTGTAGGGTAAAATTAGCAGGGTAAATTAGTGTAGGGTAAAATTAGTTATTTGGGGTAACACGTGCATGCAACCTTGTAAATAAGTTCGTGGCTTGTAAATAGTTTTTCATTAGTACTCAGCGTAAATGGCTTTTAATTAAAAATTATCCGGCGACACATCTTAAAATTACCCGGCGTCGTCCGGCTATGCTTAGGGCTTAAAATCCCATATATTGGCGAATGGCGATGCTGCATCCACCCTCTGCACCCTGCCACCCTGGGATACATAGTGGCAAACAAGAGGTTTTTTAGAATCAGTTCATTTTTAATTTCCTCATTTACTCAAGATTTGAACCAATTTCTTAAGTATGATAATGCTGGTATCCAGGATACTTTACTGGTCTACTTATAGGACTCAAAAATGAACTCGAGGAAGAGTCTAAAAAAACTCTCTGCTTTGCCACTATGCTGGGATACATCATACACGTCTTGTTATTGTCCTTCCCTGGCCAATGAATATTTAATATGTTATTCGGACAATTCATAAACAAACCAAAACCCCTCAAGTTCTTCTTCAATTGATTACCAGATCTTCTAGATCTGACAGAGACAGAACCAGAGTTCTGACAGAGTTATTCACTTATTCCCAACTTTGACACAAGTTCCAACTTCCAAGTCCAACACCAACAATTAACCACATAATAACACATTTATATATAAATAGAAATTTGTCAAGTAAATTATGCAAAAATAAACACAAAGCCAAAGTTTATTAGGTAGGTAGCATTAATTTGGCTAAACTGGCACTGGCACTTGCCACTTGGCAAGTTGGCAGAATGGCAGTCACTGTCAGACTTTGACTAACAAGCCTACAAGGCACAAGCCACAAGCCACAAGGTAATGTTTACACTTTAAAATTATTCATTTATTTGATAGGAAAATTGTTGCCTACCTAGTACCTAGCCTAGTCCCCTAGTGGGTACTCAGTACTGAGTACTGAGTAGTGACCTATCATCTAATAACATCTATGTAGCCTCCTAGTCCTAGGTAGTCACTGCTTTACTGGCTCTGGCTTTACTGTAAAACTTTACATGCAAATGATGCAATCATTTCATTGCAAATGCAATGGATGCAATTGCAACTAGGTACATATAAATGAATAGGTATTATATTAAATGAATACACAAGCCAGTGAAGCCACTGACACATTTTCAATGAAACAGTTACAGATTATATTTAATGAACATATAGTTTTGTGTTCATTGCTTGCATTGAGCAATAGGTTTGAAAGTCATCTTCACAAATTCACAATTTGACAGTTTGGAGCTTCGATAATAGCGATCAATATTTTTATACATCTCTATAATATACTAAAATCGATTAATCGAAAATCGCTATTTATCGGAGTAGAAATAGTGCAACCACTTTAAATCAGATAGATGAAGCCATAAAATCGACGCTTCGGCTGATCAGAAGTCAGAACTGAGAGCGACTCAATGTCACTTCTAAGCCCACAGGTCCAGCGAAGGCGTATGCGGTATGCTGACCGCTGACGGAGTGACGGTGGCTTACTCCACCCATGTGACTATTCCCTCATTTCAATAGAGCTCACAGACGAATGATTGACAGTTCCAAGACACTTTCGATCGTAATATTACCAGAGATTGAATTTTTTCAAAATAGTTCATTTTTTTTAAATTTCAGCGAATAGTGTTGGGTCGCCTGCCGAAGACCACCACTGCCCGGGATGTAATGGACCATCATGATTCCTGCCTTCCGGAACGTAGCCTTCAACACTTTAAGCCGTCCGTATCTAGGCCGTGGGTCGAACCAGCCCTTGGTCGGACGGCCACTTGTCGAAGGACGATAAATTTTGGAACAGAACTATGCTATCTGAAACCTAACCTCAGATGCGGTGAACGTAAAATTACGTAATTTAACGATGCCCGGAAGTCAGATTCGATCCGCGGCCTGGTGGTGCACGGCAGGTGGTGGTCAAGGCCGGAAGAGGACAAAGCCGAGTGGTGCACGGCTTATTGGTGGAAGTCCGGAGAGATCCAAGGCGTTCGATTCAGGGCTTATTGGTGAACAAAATTAGTGGTGCACGGCTGCGCTCCCATAGTGTTAACATAGAAAGTTTATTCACACCGGCCGTCCGATTTTTTTCTTCGGCGAGATCACGAATTTCGCAATTTAAATTGTTTACAAATGAATGTTGCGTATCTAGGGTCGATACAAGCTAATTTTCAGTACGTCGTAGAATGAATTAATAATTGAGGCAGGAAAGTTTTTGAAAATTTACAATATATTAACGGCTAAATATCATGTAATCTTTGTTTTGATACAGGTTTTTGCCTTGCCTTACGTTACTTCTTCACATCAACTGATGTTGGTCTTAGGAAAAATGAGTTAGCACCACCTTATTTGAAAACTAAAAGCAATTTAAATTAATCAAGTCAACACAATTAATTTTCAAAAAATTTGAAAGTGCGTGTTAAACGAACATATGGGGAAAGTATTGTGGAGAGTAATTGCATCTGGTGTGGGGAAAGTATTGTGGGGGAGTAATTGCAGGTGGTATGGGGGAAAGTCTTGTGGATTGTAATTGCATGTGGTGTAGGGAAAGTATTGTGGAGAGTAATTGCAGGTGGTATGGGGAAAGTATTGTGGAGTAATTGCAGGTGGTAAGGGGACAGTATTGTGGAGAATAATTGCAGGTGGCGGGGGGAAAGTTTTGTGGATCGTAATTGCATGTGGTGTAGGGAAAGTAATGTGGGGAGTAATTGCAGATGGTATGGGAAAAGTATTGTTGAGAGTAAATGCTGATGGTATGGGGAAAGTATTGCCTGATAGCCTCCCTGATAGCATCGTTGATATGTACTATATAATGATATATAAAGCCTCCCTGATAGCATCGTTGATACTATATAATGATAGATAAAGCCTCCCTGATAGCATCGTTGACGCTCCGAGTATGAACGCCTTCAAATACAGACTAGACGAAGCTATGCAGGAGCAAATGTTCAGTCCTAAAATGTCTAGAAAACTACGGACCAGGCATAAGTCCAGCAGCTATCTCAATAAAACGTCAGATAAGGAAAGATCGGGTTCCAAAGGCCGGATCCCTTGTGAATCAAGTCACGAAAAATTCAAGAATCGGCAACAGGCCATGGGCCTATTTCTTCAATGCCGACACTTCTATTCTATTGTGGAGAGTAATTGCAGGTGGTGTGGAAAAAGTCTTGTGGATCGTAATTGCAGGTGGTGTGGGGAAAGTATTGTGGAGAGTAATTGCAGAAACTGACAACTTGTAAAAACTTGGTCAGAAAACGGGAACGATATGTTGATGAAAATGATGCGCAAGCTCTCCTTACTCACTTAAACCTAGAAGTAAGATGTTGAAACCATATTACATTCTTTGCACACCATTGCATCTTATAATTTTATTCCAGTATTTTTATTATACTGATGTGTGAAATGGAATTATATTATTAGTATGCCTTTTTATTGGCTAAGCTTTACGATAGATAGGTCACTCATAATCAACACAGGGAAGAACGATCACATTATTAGCAGCGCTACTAATATTCCTAATATTCTAATATTCTTCCTCGCGCTGGGACTGCACGGCGTACGAGGCGCGTCCTCCGGGTGGCGGATGGAGGGAACACCATAAGGTGACGTGGACCAACGCAGTCTAAGGGAAGGAAACCCTGACAGAAAACCACTGGCCCTCCAAGCCTGGGGGTTGGGCAGAAGGCTAACAACCTACTCCCAGAAAACAATCTTGTTACAGAAACAACGGACGGCATACTGCAAGTAAACCAGGGTGAAACAGAGGTCGCCACTATTGGCCCTATGACGGCGATGGGTCAAAGCCTTAGGGAAACCCAACGCCCGACAAGATCTCTAGTGACACCCAAAAACATTTTCACCATCGGTCACTGGAATGTGAGAACCATGTACAGGGGAGGAGCTGCAGCACAGATTGCGAGCGAGATGAAAAGATACCATCTGGATGTGCTCGGGATCAGCGAGTGCAGGTGGGCAGGAGCAGGCAGGACGAGGTTGGCTACAGGACAGACGTTGATATACAGCGGAGATGATGAACTACACGAGGTAGGCGTTGCTATATTGATAAGTCAACAGGCAGAGAAGTCACTCATGGAATGGACACCTGTCAACAAGAGGATAATAACAGCAAGATTCTACTCGAGATACAGAAGAATGACTATAATTCAAGTGTATGCCCCTCACAACGAGAGGGAGGAAGAGGAGAAAGAACAGTTCTACCAAGAATTACAAGAAACATTAGATGGATGCAACAGGAATGACATCACTATCATCATGGGAGACCTTAATGCTAAAGTAGGAAGTGACAACAGCGGGTACGAGAGGACTATGGGCGTGCATGGGCTGGGGATGCAAAATGATAATGGAGAAAGATTATGCGAGTTTTGCCAACTGAATGGACTTGTGATAACAGGTACATTATTCCCATACAAGAACATCCACAAAGCAACATGGGTATCTGCAGATGGAAGAATAAAGAATCAGATTGACCACCTCCTGATCAACGGTAGGTGGAGATCATCTGTCCTGGACACACGGGCACAGAGAGGAGCTGATATCAATAGCGATCACTACTTGGTGAGGACACGCATCACGCTGCGCCTCAGTACCCACAGAAACAACAACCATGTAAAGCCGAGGTTAGATGTGGATTGACTAAGAAATGACGAGATGAGAAAGAAGTACTGCAGGGCAGTCATAAACAAGCTGGACACCACAAGGAACGAGAGTGATAGCATAGAGGAGATATGGGAGCAGCAGAAAAATGCCTATACAAAAGCGGCAGAAGAGGTGCTTGGGTACAAGAAAAGGGTGAACAAACCATGGATCAGCAACGATACCTGGAGGCTGATCGACGAGAGAAGAATTGCCAAGATACGGGTTGAAAGCACCCGATCAGAAAGAATTAAAAACAGAATGAGAAAAGAGTACAGAGAAAAGGACAGGGAAGTGAAGAGGAGCGTAAGAGAAGACAAAAGAATGTGGATGTCGGAAGAAGCGGCGAAAGCACAGAACGCAGCAGACAACGGAAGACAAAAAGAATTGTACAGTATAGTGA